GCTGAATATAAACTACCTGAAAGGCAGAACAAAAAATTTAAAGCTATCAACCTCAAAAGATTTAAATTATGGCTGGGTGTGGTGTCTCATGCTTGTAATTCCAGCACTTGGGAGGTTGAAGCAGGAGGATTGCTGAGTTCAAGACCAGACTGGGCTACACAGTGAGTTCCAAGTCAGTTTCAATTACATAGTGAGATCCTGTCTCAAAAAACCAAATAAATATATAAATAAATAAATATTTGAATTAACCTAAATACTCTGAACTTAAAAGAAAAAAATGAAAGCATATTAACATTTTTATCTAGCACTGGGAAGTCAACACAAGTAGACTTTAAATTGTGGACTTGTAATAACTGCTCCCTTAAAAATGCACCTCAAGACAATAATGTTACATGAAATAAAAAAGCAGGCACACAAGCTTAAATACTGCATGATTTTCTCTTATATGAGAAACCCAAAATATGAATAAAGAGAAGAATAAAAGATAGATGATAGGAAATATGAAGATAGATTTTTTCAGATGACAATGGGATCGTGAAATGGAGGGAGGAGTAGAGAGGAGAGAGGGAAAGGGGATGACAAAAAAGAATCAAGACGTGTTATATATGTATGCCAACTCCCCACAAGAAATATGATCATTATGTAATGCAAACATGTACTAATTTAAAAATAACTGAAAAAATAAAATTGGGAGCTCTAAAAATAATAAAATAAAAATAATAAAAATTTTAAAAATAAAGATCCATTTTAATGTGAATCCATTGTCCTGCAGATCTTTCGCTTAGAATATATCTTCAAGCATAACAAAGTAAGAATCCAAAGATTATTAGTAATTAAGATGCATGTGGAAAATATATGATGTCATGTGTTAAAGATTTTAAGATCAGTGACAATAACCTCTCTTGGTCTTTAAACCAAAAAAAACTGCATAGGAATTGTGTATGTTAACTCTGATTAATCACATGGGATCACACACATGATTGTTTACTTATAGACCTCAAACTTTCTACCTTAAGAACAGAAAATACTTGTTAATATAAATTGGGTCTGATCTTTGACAACAAAATTCTTATTATAATCCATTACCATCTAAAAGAGATATGTTAGTCAGGTGCAGACATTTAGAGTCAGTTACACATCAGATGATAAGGTAGATTTCAAATCCAGTTTGTTCAATTACACAAACATATACACATATATACACTCAAGCACACATGCAAATACTAATTTTCTGCCAAAATGTAATAAATATATAAAACAATATAGATATCAGTAGTCATTATGATGAATTATATGCAATTTACTGAGAAAATCAAGCCAATGATTACAGTAGGAACTACAAACCACAGAGATAGGAAGGAAAAGGAAATGGATAATAAAAGTCTTCTTTGAGAGAAAATATGTAAGCATTGTGCTTCTTGACAAGTAAATGAAAAGAAACTTTTTGAACATGTGTGGTAAAACAAAACAAGGGAGAAAGATGATAAACATATACTAAACAATTCAAGGTTAGAGACCAGAGACCACAGAGGAAGAATATAAAGCACATATAAAATAAGTCTAAAGAAAAATAATTATGAGATCTGTTTCTGTGGAAAGATCAATAAAAATAGGCATTATTCAAATATGATAAAGAAAATAATTTTAAGAAAAATAATCATTAACCATTTTAGGTCAGAGAAAGAAACCAGGAACAAATTCATGTAGCCAAATTTTATTTTATCACATTTATCTTCATAAAGGCCCTGTTGTATTTTTAAAAATTAAAATGTAGTTATCCACAGAGACAAAATTAAAAATAAAAAGAAAGGTGAAATTATCCAATTATTTCTGCAGATTTTCAACAGTTATAACACAATTTCCAATATACAGTGAGCCATAGTATATTTATAAATTAGTTGTTTCTAAAACATACAGTAGATATTCACTATATTTGGCAATTCCTTTTTGTTTTGTTTGTTTGTTTTGGTACCAAGGATCAAACTCTGGTCCTTGCACTTGCAAGGCAGGCAGCAAAACCACTGAACTAATTCCCTGGCCCTATTTGGAAATTCTTAAGCCAAACAGAATGAAGAAAATTAAGAAATGTGTGATTTTTATGAAATTAAGAGAAGCTTCTTATAAAAACAAGAAAATAGGGGGCTGGGGATTTAGCTCAGTGGTTCAGTGGCCTTCCTTGCAAGCACAAGGACCGGAGTTCAATCCCTGGTACAAAAAAAAAAAAAAAAAAA